TGCTTCTTATATCGACCGACGTTCACGAAGGGAAGAGCATACCCGGATTTCCTCGTGGCGTTTTATCCCGCGCATAATCGTTCAGTTTGTGGCGAACACTCGCGTTCGCTCTAATCCGACCACGCGTATTTGCCTTGCTATAATAGATTTATCTGTGCGCGTACATAGAGGATGCACGCGCGCGCTTCCGTTGCCGATCGGCATTGGTCGCGCAATTATTCGCGACGACTTGCAGCGAGCGGTGGAATTGAAAATTTATCAACACGCTCGGCGCGTCCGCTCTTTAACAATCATCGCTTTATCGTAACGGTTAATAAGTGTTTATTTATAACAGCACCCTGAGAGAGAAAAGAGAGAGGAGCCGAAGGAAGAAATTCAAACAAGTGTAAATAATTTTATGTTTACGATCATGTTATTATTCGTTGCTTCGATAACAAATGCAGAGTTAGGAGATAAGAACTCGTTCGTTGCGTCGCTGAGATTAGCAATTAAAGCGATTCCGACTCGTCGATGCGATTCAGCGCCGGATGAGGCTTCGCGATGGATAAAGCGATAAACAAATTATTGATTTCGCTGATAAACGCTCACGACGCCGATGTTCTTGGCAGTAATTGGCGCGGTATCGCGGTGCGCTAGCCGTCTAGCAACACGGCACGGCGCGTAAACGAATGATACGACGCGCGCGAATAATTGATATCGCGAAATAATATCGACACCTGGCGCGACACGTTGTCGATAGTAATTGCCGGCGATGCTATTAGCCCCGACGATATCGCGCTCGGTTTTCTGCTCGCGGTCTCGTTCGCCTTGATGTCCCTTTGCGTGTACAAGGGACGTCGGGAGGCAACGATCGCCGTTCCCTATCGCCGCTTAATTACGGCAGCGTCTTATCTGCCAGTGTGTCCGCGCGCCGTGCTCGTTTGTTCCTCCACGTTCTCGTTATCGAAGCTTTCGTGGCGGCTCGGAGATCGAGCGATCGGCGTCCGCGGCACCGCTTTCGCGTGTGCGAACTTCATCCCCGACGAACGCCCGGCATGTAGACGTCTTAATTAAAAATGAAATCCGAGACGCGCCCTTCGGACGATCTCTGCTCCGCGACGGAATTCGGGGGACTGAATTCCACTTGCATTTTTTTACGTTGCGCAATTTCTCCGAGTGAAATCTCGCTCAAAGTATGTGAAAGATATTTCAACGTGATAATGATACTCGTGCCACTTGCAGTCGCATGAGTCGATTGATTAGAGTGAAAAATTGGATTTGTTAGAATTGAGTTTGTTTCCGCGGCTACGGAGTACGTTATGTTAACTCTTCAATTTCGAACGATTTTTCACATTTCGAACATTTCTACTCGACGATTCAGGGCGGAAGAGTTCATTCCACAGAAGAAAAGAGTGAAAGATCATTCAACTTCGAGCGACTCGGCTGTGAATCTGCTTTTCTAGTGGAATTTCACTCGAAGAAATTCGAAAAGAACATTGTAGTTCTGCTCGCCCGCGTCTTCGCTCAGATAGTTCCGCAACTATTTCTATCGCGAATCGCGGATCGTCCGAGACGGCTTGGAGACGCAAAATGTAAATTTCCAGGCACGAACATTTAATCGGAACGAGAGAGAAGAGAGCTCGCAGTAGCGCAACGAGATAAGCGTAATCGAGTCTTTCGAGATCGCGACGAACCGTCGCGAATCCATTCGCCGTCCATCCGAATGTTTGTTTTGCCCGGGTTCAACGGGAGCAGAAAATGAGTGCGATGAAGAAGAGAAGAAAGCTCCATGATGAGCGGATAATCGAGCGTCATGCAACGTCGATTCGGCCGATCCGCCGATTTCCATCCGTCCGTCTTTCTCCCTCTCGCTCCTCGCCTCTCTCGTCGAGGTTCAAGGGCACGTCGACTGGGCGGTTCTGCATGTCCAGAAACTCGAGTTCCTACCCGACGACATGGCATCGCGGCAGCAACATAGGGTCGCGCGCTCTAGAATTAACCAACTAGCCAACGAGAGGCCTCTCGATCGCCCGAGCGATTCTCGCGAACAAGGAAGAACACCCATTGCTTCTGTCGTCGCGAAAAAACAGGCGGTATCATTCCACGCGCCAACTTGCTCGCGCCGGAACTGCGCGTTTCGCGTTCCCCGTCCGGCAAAAAGTTGGCGCACGAGGCGACACATAGCCGGTCGTTTCCGCCGCTGTTTGTTCAGCGTTTCTTCGCCGCGGCGTCGGAAGGAATCTGTCGTAGCTTCCTCGTCGCCGCCGGCGATTTCACGGCCGTCGGAGCCCATGTCGATGCGTCCCTTCGCACCCTCCGCCGGCTTGTCTTCAGGCCGCCGATCTCTTCTTCTTCTCGTCAGCTCGTAGTTTGTGCCGGATAAAACCGACCGAGCGACGCGCGTCGCTTCGATACGAGCGGCGGCGCGTCGATCCGCCGTTTTCGATTTTTCACGCCGGCGAACACGCACGACGACGCGCTCGCTCGCGCCGGTCCGGCGTGTTGCGGTAATGAGTTCTCTTTATAACCGCCGCGCGATCATCATCGTGCCGATGCGCTGTAACGATCGCGCGCCATCTTTTTTCCTCTTTCTCCTCGTCGTCGTCCGCTCGGTCCCCCTTCCCTTCCCTCTCCTCCTCCGGTTGAACGCGAATTGGAAAATATCGCCGCTCCGATTCGCGCTCCTGATTATTAATCGCGCCGTGATTACCTGTTCGTAGCCATGCAAATGCGCGCTCGACCGGCACTGCGCCGTAGCGGCCGAGTAATAAAAACGAATTAGAGAATTAGAGGCGATCGTGAATTGCAGCGGCCCAACGGAGGGCGGTTTAATCACCTCGATAACGACGCCGTGGTGAATCGCATCGCCTTGCCATTATCTCTCAACCTTTATTATTACAATTATTATAATTTACGTTAATAAGACCGCGGTGTAATATATAACGACTACATAACTTATTTATGAAACTTGCTCTGAGATTTTTGTAATCAACTGTTTGCTCCCGTCGTTTATTACATCATCCGCGAGTAACGCTGCTGTATGGAATTAATATTAATTAATGTGCGGTCGCGTTCTTATCGCTAAAATCAATTCACATTAACGGTGACAAAATAGTATATATTGACGCCGATTTCTAATTATCATAGTGATTTAATGAATTACAAATTTATGCACGCGGCGCACCGTTTGAAATCAACGTCCGTCATTGCTGCGACTAACGCTAAGAAGGGCACGAATTAATGTACGCCTGCGATCTCTTGTGTTCCAGGATTCCGAGGGGAGCACTGCGAGGAGAACATCGACGACTGTCCGGGCAACCTCTGTCAGAATGGTGCCACTTGCATGGACCGGGTGAACGAGTACTCCTGCCTGTGTCCGCCGGCCTTCACCGGCACGCAATGCGAGCTGGACGTGGACGAGTGCTCCGTGCGGCCGTCCTTGTGCCACAACGGCGCTACGTGCACGAATTCGCACGGCAGTTACTCGTGCATATGCGTGAACGGCTGGACCGGGCCCGATTGCAGCGTCAACATCGATGACTGTGCAGGTGCGGCCTGCTTCAACGGTGCTACTTGCATCGACCGCGTCGGCAGCTTCTATTGCCAGTGCACGTACGGAAAGACCGGTAAGCGACTTCAGACTTGTGTTATCCGAATGTGAACGGATCGGAAAATGCGCCAAGGACGACTTTCTCAAGTCGTTCTGAAAGCAAAATCCGAATATTCCTCGCCATTTCTCTATCCAACGCGCGTTTATTCTGATTATATTTCTTTCGGACGGTCGCGAGAAATTTCGGATCATCGGTGAGATCATCGTGGCGACGATAAAAACTGAGAACCTCGTGATAAAAATTCACGAGGTTCGCTAAAAAAAATGTGTAAATTTTTGCCGAGAAAATTCGCGATAAATTGAATATTAATTACACGGTGATTCCAATCATGAGAAGATTGATTTTCCGAATCCTATCGGTCCAAGTAATTTAATGTCAGTTAAAATCATTACAAACGCGAGCATAGCTGTTAGCTGTGCAGGAAGATCCGATACCGGTTTACTGATGTGAGAGCCTTCCTCGAGAGCGTCCTCTTATCCGGGGCACATTTCATTACCGGTATCAGTCGCGCGTTTCTCCGCGGCGATCCCGCCTGCTCGTTACGTCCAATTCCGGCGCGGTCTTTATCGGCGCGCGCATAATATCGCTGGAAAAAATATGACGGAAGCCTGAAATGCTCCTTTTTCGAGAGAGAGAGAGAGAGAGAGAGAGGCAGACAGACATACGCAACGCCTCCTCCTCCGGTTCGTTTCTGCGAGGTCGCGTATCCGTGGGGTGATTAACTCGACGCCGAGTATGGTCGGGAACAAGACTCGCGACTCGCGGCGGCGGCTCGCGAGATGCATCGGCAGGTGCATCTGCACACGTGCGCCCAGTACGACGCGCCTACTACGAGAGCTACGTAGAGAACGGGTCCTTCGGAATCTCGAGATTCCGAGGACTCCCGGGACGCCCTGGCTTCGCCGTGTATCGACCTTGGCGACTGGAAACGAGTTTCTGTCCTTACTCTCCTTCCATCGCCGGCCGCTCGGGAGAACAGCCGCGAGGTGGGTCGTTTTCAGATCGATCCGCCGGCAATCACCAAATACAGGTATATTCCTCTCTGCCTCTCTCTCTCTCTCTCTCTCTTTCTCTATCTCTCTTTTTCTCTCTTCGCACCGCCAGATAGACCGCGTCGCGATTCCCCGGAATCGGGCTTTTATGTCGACCAGCGGCGATCCCATCGATTCACAGAATCGTGAAGTGCGATGTGGGTACTGAGGTACTTCTCGTGGGAGGTTATTATTATTCATTCGTTTTCTTGTTAGATATAAATCAAAATTAAAATTGAACAAAAATTATTTAATTAACCGTTAAATGCATGAATTTTTTTTTATTACTGAATTATTATTTTTTAAGTTCATAGGTAGTCACAGAAAATGAGAAAAATATTAAAAAAAATCTGAGGCATATGTTGAGCATTGCCTTTGTGCCTTTTGGATTGTATATTTCGTTCTAAAGAAGAATTTGGTCTTCCATGTTTAGGTGTGCCTTTGATCTCGACAAAGAGGAAAAATAAATATGTTGCAAATTTGCAACACTATGCATTTAAGGGCTAAGATTATGTTAGGGTAATTGAAAAATGATTTTCGCCTTACTGAGTGTTAGAGTATACAGAGACGTGATAAAAATCCAAGCTTGCAAACTTCACACGGTCCAATCTCACGAAGATACACAAGTGTGCGCGTTGGCGTACTGCGTGCTCTATTATACTCTCGCCGAGACGATGAGTGTGAAATTTTTTTGGACGAATTTCTCTTACGCACTATAAAGCATAACAACGCGATGTTATAGTCGTTCGTGGGAAATCACTTCAATTGCGAATTCAATCGTCGTTGGATATCATCCGCTTCAGAATCGAGAATCGGAGCATATTATTTTGCGAGTAGACTACTGTCTTTTTAGGGTTCAGGGAAGAAAAGTTCGCAGAAGTTATAACGGACCTGCGGTACACGAACGCGTAATGGTCCTTTTCGCTCGCGCCTTCGGGCGTACTTTCAGAGTTCGCGTTAGAGATATAGTTACAGTTACTCGCGGGTGCATGCTCGTGCATCTGCATGCACTTACTCTGGTTTATATATGAATATCCCGGGGACTCCGGTACCGTTATCGGGCCTCATAAAGAAAAGTTCGCTTCGACACACGCGAGCCGCTTCCCAAGGAAAATTACGTCCCCCGGCGTAGCTTTCTCAATTTTATATTGTCCTTCCGAGTTTACGATGCCGGCAATTTCCTCAACTCGCCTTGCAATAATTTGTACGGCCGCATAATTTGTTGCGCGGGTCGAAGGAAGTCGAGAAGAGGGTACGTGCGTTCGATAATTCCATATGCTTCGTACCGACCGTGATTGTTATCGTGCTGATGGACGATAATAGAAAGATTTTACAGAACACTGCGAAGTGCATCGCGGCCAAATTTTATATTGATTTTACATTCTATTTATTACGCATCGAGAGAAAAATTCCGACTATTTGATACAAGGATGATTTATAGGATATTTTTCGCGTTAAAAACGGTAATAGACAAATAAAAATTCGCACACAATTATTCGTTCCTGAGTAAACGGCGAGTTGAAATATTTTCATATATTCATTGCAGTATTATTATTAATTTAATCATGGCATGTGTATTAGTGTGATATCCGTAATAAATGGATTATGTTGTATTAGAGCGTAGGACAATGATATACGTAAACATGACGGTCGAATTGTGCGTGTTGTTTTTTCCTGCGCGCGCGCGTGCGCGCGCCTTGTTATTGAAAGTCAGTCGGTCGCTGCGCGTGAAGAGGCAACTCGCGTTGTACTAAAATCAATAGATTAGTTCAAAATTTCTGTGTCAACTGTTGCATTAGTTCATAATTATCAGAATTTGTTGTCTTGTATGCATCTTGTTGTCGAATGTCAGTCGGTCGTCGCGCATCGAAGGAGCACAACTCGTAATTTGCGTCGTACAAAGATTCGTTCGTGCAACATTTTTATATGAGCTATCGGAGTTATTTGGGACGAGTGGTGTAATTCTACACCATGTGTGTAATGTCGTGTGAAAAATGAAAGAAAAAAGAACTGTTGGTTTTGTGTCGCAGGACTCCTCTGCCATCTCGACGACGCCTGCACGTCGAATCCGTGTCACGAGGGCGCGATCTGCGACACCAGCCCTATCAACGGCTCCTTCACCTGCTCCTGCGCCACCGGATACAAAGGACTGGATTGCTCCGAAGACATTGACGAGTGCGAGCAAGGTGAGTCTTATTTCTCGACTTGCATGTGTGCACGCTTTAACGGTTCATGTTCTCGAAAATGTTTACGATATATTTTACGAGAGTCGTCGATACGAATCTCGACATATCTACAATTGTGTTTTGTCTGTAATTAACTTGTTTTTTCTAATGCGATTTTACTTCGAAAAGAATTTTCCATTTTTCCTTCATTCTTTTTCTCTTTCATTGACGTTCCCCACGTTGCTCGAAACAATTAGACGATCACTTCTTCGGATATTTGTATTATAGATATTCGACAAAAATGTTAGATACTTTTATCAGTATATTTGCTAGACATTTATTTCGTGGCTATTTCGTTTCATATTTTATTCAAGTTACATAAACATTCGGTAGATTTATTTGTTCGATGTGATCATGTGACTTTTTTAAGTATTGTATGTGCTTCCTATGAAATATTCCTTGCGTTGCTTTCATCATTCTTATCTATATTCGGGAGCACGCAACTCCGGTTGTACGTTCGATTATCCATACTTCCGTGGACCTTCGAATTTAACGGGATCGTGAGTGATTAAGCGACCGCTTTTATTCAAAGTGGGGAATTTCAACGGATTATAAGCTTCGCGTAATGACCGGCCAATCCGGGGATAAATTCGGCCAAATGAAGTACCTAATTGACTGTCGCTGTATAGTATCGACCGCTTAATGCGGCGGTTGATTTTGAAGATCGGCTCTCAGACCGGCCGTTAGTCCGCGTCCGTTTCGGCCGCTATTATAATCCGTTTCGAAAGTAATCTCCGTTCAAATCGAAAGTAATGAGCCTCTCTCGCGGTGGCTACTCCGGCTGGTCGGCATAGTTATTAATGACGGGCTCGATTCAAGAACGCAGAAATGCCGGTCGACCGTTCGCAATCGGCTGAGAAAAATCGCACGAGGGGGGAGGGGGGGGATAGCTATCGGATAGATGTTATCGCACGGTGCGGCGAGACCAGTTCACGTATTAAAGTCGCTCGCGGAAAATAATAAATCGCGGGCCTCTCGAGTGACAGTCAAGGAAAATTCAGGGAATCGTTGAGGCGGCAAATCGCGTCTTATCCTTGCGCGCGTCATACATCCGGCTCGAAAAATACGATCGCCGATGCTTGCTTCACGGGCGGCGATAGAGGGAATCCTCGACGGCGTGAAGCGTGCCTTCGGATATTACGCGAGGCTAAACGGCGATAAAGTCATGAGCGGCGACGCGAATTATTCAAATTAAACGCCGTCTTAATCGGATTCACGACGACGCGCGCTTCGGGAAGCAATACTTGCCACGTTATCGAAAATAAACGTAAGTATAAATGAACATAAATAAGAGAGACATTCGACTCGGTGTCGCGGGTACTGCGGGCCGTTGCGAAGTTCGTTCTTTATTATGTCAACTGCGGCAGTATATTATAAACGTGAATTAAATCGAGATAGCTATGTATTCGGTGGGGGAAGGAAGACGAGAAAAGAGAAAAATTGTTTAAATGTCTAAAGAGCGCGATTGCAAAATATGGATTGACCTCTCTTTGTCCGTTCGCTTCTACTCGAGATGTTTATTTCGCGCAATTAATTCGTCATTGCGGTCGGAAGAGTTTCGACGAGGCGATAACGGCCGCTCCAACGACACTCTTGAAGGGGTCATCGCGCTCTGTAATATTTCCCTCTGATCACGTATGTTTGCGCGGTTGTGTGTCCCTCCACCTCGCGCGACCTGTGCGTGTTAACATCGCTGCATCAGCGTGGGCAGTATGGTAATTGCGAGCCAATCGAGGACACGCGAATGGCTCTCTCTCTCTCTCTCTCTTCCTTTCTCTCTGAGGAAAAAAAGAAAGATGGAGCGAGAGAGAAAGAACGGCGAGTCCAGAAGGGTATTCTTCGTTAGCATCGCTAATGGTGCTGTAACTAAAAACGGGAGCCGAATTTCACGTCGCGATCACGGCGATCGCCATACGTCTCTCGATTTTTGTCCATCATCGATCAACTCTTGCCGGCGATCGAGCCGGCAAAAACGAGTTCCGGTGGGAGTGATCATCATTACGTTCCATCGCTCCGAAGGATCACCGTAGCGCGCTTAGGCGTACTTAATGGCGAATTGATGATACGAATGTCGCGGACGTCTCGCGCTGAAAAATAGCTTCGAGACTGTGAGAAAAGAACTTCCAAGACAGAATAGAGTCGGATCAGGATTTGTCACAATTCATAGTCGGAATTCCCGTGAATTAGAATATTACGGCTGACGCTCGTGGAGAGAATTTCAAGCGTCACGTGTAGCATGACAATCGGCATTTCTTCTCTAAATCTCACTCCAACATGAAACTCGCGATTCGAGCGGTCTCACGCGAATCAATATCACAATATTATATTGGAGAAGTCTAGAAAAGTAAATTATATAGATATCACCTTGATGGAAATATGACAACGCACGGATGCGCCAATGCGACCACTCGTGTACTTTCTTCCCTTCTCTTTCAATTTTATGTAATAAAATATGAAAAAATATCCAACAGATACGCGCGATGTGTGAAAATATAAATCATTCGAGGAAAGTATCACGCATCAACGCACGTCAACGTGATCTTAATCTCGGTCACTACGATCATCGTGAGATAATAAGGATACCGCTGGCCGGAGTTCTCGTCGGAGAACGATCGTGGAAGAAACGCGTCGGGATCGATATCGCGCGCGCGAGAGATTTTTCAGACGAGATAACGGCAAGATCCGCGCTCGTGGCTCTCGGGGCCTCGAGGTATAGTAATCGCGGGATTAATGTGCGCGTTCCGAGTGTACGGAGGCCCCCACGGTCCGAGCAAATTGAAAACCCACACGGGGCAGATTGGCGGACGGCGATCGATCGATTACGATCGATTAATTCGGCGCTGGATCCGCGCCGCGTTATTTATCGTGCCGGGTCCTCTCCTCTCCCTTTCTCTCATCACGCGCCGTCCCGTCGTCCTTCTCGTCATCGAGCCACGTTGATCGATATATCGCCTGTCCGGCAGTTTTAATCAACATATGTTATGAGCTCGTAACAGTACAGTGTAATAATGAAAATTAGCCGCCGCGGTTTTCTCAGATGATTGTCCGAAGGGTGTGTGTTCCACCTGAAATTACGAAATATTCATCCGAACTCTCCCTCCCTTCCCCCTCTTTTTTCCATTAATTATTTGTTTATCACAATTTAAATTATCTCAGCGTGTAATTCGAATATTACCGGTCGGTTACGCGTTCCGTAATTCAATATTCCGCAAAAATATTCCGGGGTGACGTGGACGTTTATACGTTGCACACAGCGCGATGGCGGAATGCATAATTTATCAGGTTCGTTACACACTCCCATAATTTAATATTCAGCAAAGGTGTCCAAAGTGACACAGATTTTCTGTCACACGGCGCGATAATGGAACGTATAATTTTCGCGATTCGTCACACCACCCTTCGGTGATTTAACGTGCCGTGAAGCCGCGCGGAATGACGATGGATATCGCGCACAGTCGCCGCCGCCGAAAGCGCGCGACGACAATCGCCGACGCGCGATCTAGATCTCGCGGGATCTCGGCGTTTATCGTTATTTATCGCCCGAGGTGACGTGTCGGTCCGTTTACATATATATTCACACGCACACACACAGCCGTCGCGCGCGTGAACGTCCGCGGGGAGCAACGATTCTTAATGGCGCGCCGCGATGTACCCAATTTTCTCTCTCTCATTCCTTCCTCGATCGCGTAGCTGCGGGCAAACTTGTCATTCGCAAGTCGTTCCTCTTCTCTCGCGCACCCGCCTCTCTCTTTCTCTCTTTCTTCCTCGGCGCCGAACGAATGTGATATGTGACCTATGATTGGAGGGTCCCGCGTGATGTATCGCGAGGGAGTCCCACTGTCAAGACGCCGGCGATTATTAATAATTCTGCGGTGATAATTAATGGCCGCGCGGGAATTTATCGAGTCTCTTTTTCGGCCCGATCGTTTCACGCATCGAACTTTCATACCCGTGTGTACGTGTGTATTTGCTCACCAGATGGTGCGTCGCAGCAATCAGTAGTATGCAAAATCGGAAACGCGATCATCGATTCCGTTGTCATCGTTCCGTCGATGAACGAATATGTATAGGCTTTTTTTTTCTATCCGCAAATGTATTATTTTCTCGTTAAGTTTTCGTGGATTCTTCGGAATTCATAATGTCTCGATGAATAACGATGTAACGGCCCGATATCATTATAATCCCCTTCTATTTCGTATTTTTCTCGTTACCAGTAGATTAAGCGGCCGTTCGGCGGCATAAGTACGTAATACGCGTAGGTAATGGGTTTGTAATTAACCAGTGGACAGGCAGTAGTCGCGGGTTAATTAATAGTCCGGCCGAGAATCGAGCGCGGCATGGAGCCACACACCTCGGCGGTTTCCCCTCTTGCGCACACGCGGCGTGTAAGCTTTATCTACCGATATCATCTGCGAGGTTTCGATTCGCAGCGCGGATCGGAATCGTGCTTCGTTCTGTTTTCAACCGTCGTCACTAACAGAAAGAGAGAGAGAGAGAAAAGCAGAAAGATAGAAAGAGGGAGGGGGCAGATAAATAGAATCGGTATCTTTCGAGACGTTTTAACCTGTTTTTGCACATAAGATTTTTTCTTTATATTTTAGCAATAGAATTTAATAATGTAAGAGACCTCCCTGATGTATATTTTTATCGGGCGGTCGCACCTCGAGAAGGAACACCAGCGTTGGCGCACCACATATTCATATCTTCACTCTGTGGAATCGATCTTTGAAGTGGCATTGGGGGAAAAGATGGCTTGACACGAATTATTCTCGTCGTTCTTTTGCGAAAGTATCGTTAGATGCCGAGCTGACGATTTACGCGAATTTCTCAAGATTTCCAACGAGATTCATTTTCGAGGTTTAAAGTAGCCCAACATCTCGGAAGCGAATCGCGCCCATCGAAACGAACGTCTCTCCGATTCGGTGTATCCGCGAAGCGAGCGAGAACGCGGAAGAGATGAA